AGCACAACACATAACCAAGTTATACAGCAGGTGACCTGGATTATAAACATTGTAGGAGAGCTGTGACAATCCTCTTAATTGATGTCACAGATGAAGACCTTCGGTATAAAGCACCTGCTGTATAAAACCCTGCAGAGCACCATTCAGTAGATTAAGACGCCTCGCCTGGGCTTGCAGGATAAATAAGGAATAAATCATTGGTTTATTCATTAATCAGCTCGGCGAGTGCTCTCTCTATATATAGCAAACAATAGAAGCCACGGGCACAGATCTTGAAAGAAAATGTGAGGGATCTGCAGTTCTGCCCAAGAATTCCAGGCTGCGTGCAGCAGATTTGCCGCAGTGGACGCGTGATACAGACTCTCTTTCATCATTAGAATTTGCTGCCATGCTGGATTTGTCACATTAACACACAATGATTGTCAAGTCAATGGAACTCCTTCTAACAGAATCGCCACATTCTCGCCAAAGCACACAATTATATCATCTTCATTTTTATAGCAACAGAAAGGACACTTCCTATTGCAATAAAAGCTTAACGTGTGGATACATCTAATCTAAGGTGTGATCTACACGAGAAATTCCCATTCAATTAAAGAAAAGGAATTACTAAAATCACTAAATTAAAAGCAGCACATTTTTTAATTTGATACAGAATTTGTTTGCCCAGAGATATCACTACAATGTCTGCATGTCCAGGTCTGACACTTTGTAATTATGCTTAGTTTTATTTGTTTTATGTAATATTTACAAAAAAAAAATTATCCTTCTCAATATCAATAAAAGCTAAATATACATATTGAGAAAGGAACAGGTGGAACCGACAGTTGATCAAGGATGACTGAATTTGGATTAAAACATTGTTATATCACTACAAGTGCCGTGGGTACGCCTGGCTGTTCAGACATACATACATCGTTCTTGTGATCGCAGAGCAGCAGTTTTCAAGCTGAATTAGATATATATAAATATATATACATTTACAGTTGTTGATCTGAGCCTGCAGTTGGCATTAGCCAAGAAATACTTAATTTATTACTCATTTTGTTTATGATTTGTGGCACTTGCACTTTATTACTTTTTACTTCTTTAACATAGTTACTTAATTGAAGCACTGACTACTTGAGAGTTCCATATGTGGATATTA